GTCATAAACAGAATGTTGCTAGAAATGTGGGTGTTAAATGTGCTTCTGGTGAGACTTTAAAAGGAAACAATGAACATGTGATTGGACATTGGAGGGAAGGTGATGCTTTTTGTGCAGTGGCAAAGAACTTATCTGAATTAGGTTCAAATGTTTGGTGGAAGGTAAACTTGTAAGTGATGAACTTGGATATTTGGCTGAGGAGATTTCTAAACAAGATCTTCAGGGGGCAGCATGGTTTCTCCTTGCCGCTTACAGTAGAATGTGGGAGGAAAAAGGTGGGCTTAAAAATGAACTGTGCAAAATGAAACCAGAACTTAAAGATTTGGAAAATTCTGTTGTATAAACTAAGGACGTGTGTCCTAGAACTGTCACCAAGGATGTGGCAACTCAATCTTTTGTTCAAGAGATTAAGGCTGTGATTGATGGAGTTATTCAACCACTGCAACAGAAAAGGACAGAGACAGTACAAAGTGAAGGAAAGCTGTTTGCCTCCTGGAATTCTACAGGCAGGAAACAGGCCACTGGAGTGACTTGGTTGCGAACATCTGTTGTCCTCCAAGAAAAGGAAGGCACCATCCCAGGAACAGTTCGGAGATCAGAAGAACTGTTGGAAGGACCATGATGGGCAGGGCTGCCTCAATTTCAAAGGGTAGAACCACCATCTCCATTTCAAACGGGGAAAAAAACTGCCTCCTAGGTTTCAAAGAGTCAGATTTCTACCACCTTAGTTCCAGAGTGTGGGGTTGCCCTTCCCGTGGGCCAGGAAGATAGGGTCTTCACCCAAAGCTAAGGAAACAGGGCTGCCATGCCTAAGAACCAGAGAATGAAGCCACCCAGGGATACTCAGATGGACCAGGAAAATGGGGCTGCCTAAAGCCAGGGGAGCAGAGTTGCCATCCCAGTGGGCCTGAAAGACAGGGCTGATGCCCAGGGCTGAGGGGCCTCCACCCAGAATCCGGAGAGCTTGGCCAACACCCAGAGTCTGGAGGGCAGGGCTATTGCCCAGATAGATGGTCCCAGATAATAGAGGATTATTTTCAAGCTTTGAGAGCTAATGAAATTTGCTCTGCTAGGTTTTGATCTTGCTTAGTGCCCACAAACCCTTCTTTCCTTCCAGTTTTTCCCATTTGTAATGGGAATGTTTACATTGTATTTGTTCCACCATTGTACTTGGGAAGCAGATAACTTGTGTTCTAGGTTTCACAGGTTCACTGATAGAAATTTTGTCCCAGGATGGAATACACTCAGAGCTTCACCCATGTTTGATTTAGATGATTCAGAAGATGAGATTTTGGACTTGGAGTTGATTTAAGACCTTTGAGATGATGTGATGGGGTGAATGTGTTTTGCATGTAGGAAGGACATGAATTTTGTGGGTGGGGCTAAAGGGTAGAATGTTATGGATTGAATTCTGTCCCCCAAAAATATGTGTTGTAAATCTTAACCTCTGTGCCTGTGGTTATAATCCCATTTGGGAATGAGCTGTTTTTGTTATGTTAAAGAGGTAGGATTAGTATAGGGTGTTCTTGAGTCAGTCTCTTTTGAGATATAAGAGAGATTAAACAAGCAAGCTAGAGAAGCAGAGATGAGGGAAGAGAGATGCCAAGCCACATGAAGATCACCCAGGAGCAGAAGCTCAAAGAGACAATGACCTTCCTTCAGAGCTGACAGAGAGAGAAAGCCTTCCCCTAGAGCCAGCACCCTGAATTTGGACTTCTAGCCTCCTAAACTGTGAGAAAATAAACTTTTGTTTGTTAAAGCCACCCATTTATGGTATTTCTGTTATAGCAGCACCAGATAACTAAGACAGAATTTGGTACTAGAAAAGTGGGGTGCTGCTCTAACAGATACCTAAAATGTAGAAATGGAGTTTTGGAATTGGGTAATGGGTAGAGGCTGGAAGAGTTTTAAGGTGCCAAGTAGTAAAAGCCTAGATTGCCTTGAAGAGACTGTTGGTAGAATTATGGATGTCAAAGGCAGTTCTGGTGAGGTCTTGGAAGGAAGTGAAGAGAGCTATAGAGAAAGTCTCTATTGTCTTAGAGAATACATATGGCGCCAACAACAGAATGTTGCTAGAAATGTGGATATTAAATGTGCTTCTGGTGAGGCTTTAAAAGAAAATAATGAATGTGTGACTGGACAATGGAGGAAGAGCGATGCTTTTAATGCAGCGGCAAAAAGCTTGTCTGAATTACATTCAAATGTTTGGTGGGAGGTAGAACTTGTAAGTGATGAACTTGGATATCTGGCTGAGGAGAGTTCTAAGCAGTATCTTAAAGGGGCTGCGTGGTTTCTCCTTGCCACTTATAATAAAATGTGAGAGGAAAGAGATGAACTGTGCAAAATGAAAACAGAACTTAAAGATTTGGAAAATTCTGTTGTACAAACTAAGGACACGTGTCCTAGAATTTTCACCAAAGGTGTGGCTACACAATCTTTTGTTAAGGAGATTAAGCCTGTGACTGATGGATCTAACCAACTACCACAGTAAGAAAACCCATCAGCTTAGACTGAAGGGGACAGAGAAAGAATGAAAGGAAAGAACACTGTCTGCCTCTTGGAATTCTACAGGCGGGAAACAGGCCAAAGGAGCTATATTTGTTGTCCTCCAAGAAAAGAAAAGAACCATTCCTGGAGCAGCTTGAAGATCAGCAGAACTGTTGAAAGGAGCATGAGGAGCAGGGCCTTCTTGGTTTCAAAGGGTGGGGCCACAGCCTCCTAGGTTTTAAAGAGTTGTGTCTTTACCAACTTGGTTTTGGCATGTGGGGCTGCTATTAAGGTGTGCCAGGTAGATGGGGCCGCTGCCCAAAGCTGAGGAGGTGGGGCTGCCATGCCCAAGGGGCAGAAGAACGGGGCCTGCTGGGGCCGAGGGAGTGAGGTCACCACTCAGGTGGACTAGGAGAATTGGGCATCCCAAAGCCAAGGGAGCGGAGTTCCCGTCCCAGTGGGCCTGGAAGGTGGAGCTGAAGCCCAGGGCCAAGGGGTCTATACCCAGAATCCAGAGAGTGTGGCCAACACCGAGTCTGAAGGGCAGGGCCATTGCTCAGATGGTTTCAGAGAACAAAGGATTATTTTCAAGCCTTGAGAGCTAATGTAATGTGTTGTTGGGTTTTGGACTTGCTTCTTTTCCTCCAATTTCTCCCATTTGTAATGGACATGTCTACCTTGTGCCTGTTCCGTCGTTGTGCTTTGGAAACAGATAACTTGTAATGTGGATTTCACAGGTTCACAAGATGAAATGGAATTTTGCCCTAGGATAGAATATGCCCAAAGTTTCACCCATGTTTGATTTATATGATACAGAAGATGAGATTTTGGGCTTGGAGTTGATTTAAGATTTTTGGGATGATATGGTAGGGTGAATCACATGAATGTGTTGTGCACATGGGAAGGACATGAATTTTGGGGGGTCAAAGGGTGGAATGGAGCCCTAGTGGTACAGTGGTTAAGAGCTAGGCTGTTAACCAAAAGGTCAGCAGTTTGAATCCAGCAGCTGCTCCTTGGAAACCCTATGGCGCAGTTCTGCTTTGTCCTGTAGGGTCACTAGGAGTCAGAATCAACTCAGTGGCAGCAGGTTTAGTTTGGGTTCAAAAGGTGGAATGTTAGGGGTTGAATTGTGTCCCCAAAAATATGTGATATAAATCCTGACCTCTATACTTCTGGTTGTAACCCCATTTGGTACCCTACCGCCAAAAAACAAAAAAAAACATAGGGAACTTGGGACTCTTTGGCTAAACCTGGCCTTGAGGGAGGCTCCTCTCTAAAGGGAATCTTTGCTGCCTCCCAGCTCTGGGTTAAAAGCCCCAAATGGACCACAGCAGAGAGTGGCCTGCTGCCACCAGCCAGGACAGGACTTGGGGAGTTGATTGGTGGGTCTCAGGCAGAGAGGCACAGCCCCCTTCATGCCTGGGTGGGGAGGAAGGACAGGAGAGCCTGAATTACAGAAATGCAGAGTTTGGTGGGAGCTGGAGGGTCAGGTGTGGGTTCTATCCTGGTTCTGCTACTAGTTTGCCATGTGACCTTGGGCAAATCTCTTCCTCTTTCTGAGCCTCAGTTGCCCCATCTTTACAATGGGTGCGATTGGGCTAGAAACAGGATGGCAATAGGTTTATCTCACATGCCAAACTGACTGGTTGCTGTTGACTTCAAGTCCTGTCTCAGCAACTACCTGGGCTCAGCAGGAGAGCACGCTGGGATTATTTAGAGAGGCCTGGTGAGTCTGGAGCCCTGGTGGCACAGTGGTTAAGAGCTACAGCAAGCTACAGCTATTAACCAAAAGGTCAGCAATTAGAATCCACCAGCCGCTCCTTGGAAACTGTATGGGGCAGTTCTACTCTGTCCTATAGGATTTCTATGAGTCAGAATCAACTTGATGGCAATGAGTTTGTCGAGTCTGGGATTGGAGATTGCTACATGTGTTCTGTGGTGTTATCCCTGAGTCCCTTCCTGCTCTGATATTCTTTGATTCTTCTTTGCTTCCTTCCATCTCCTCTGTCATTTCTCCACCAGCCCATTGTCTGCCTTCTGCTTAAACACCTCCACAATGGGGAACACCTTCTCTTTCCTCAGACAGAATTGTTAGACTGTTATATCTCGTGTTGAACTGAAATCTCCCTCCCCGAAATGGTGCCTGGAAAGATGACTTGGGTTCAGCCTTAGATAATGCCTTGGGTACTTGAAGTCGAAGTAATCAATTTATCGTTTCTTCCTTCCAGAGTTGTACAGACCCACTGCAGTGACATAGAGATAGCATATGTATGTTCTTTGAAAAGAGCACTTTAAAAACACTGTCACTTGGCTTATACAGCAGCCCTGTGAAGCTGGTGTTATCACCTCCATTTTACAGACGAGGAAGCGGAGGGCCAGTGAACAGAGCGGGGCGCTCTGAGAGCAAGCCTGTGCCATTCTCGCCAGATGCTGTCCTCAACCCCTGGCCCCCACCTTCTGTGCTCCTGGCTCCCCCACAAGCCTATGGCCTCCCGTTCTCTCGCCCTCCGCAGGTTTCCATGTGATCCCCACTATCTCCAGCATCGTCCCCGAGAGCTGCCTGCTGATCGTGGTGGGGCTGCTGGTGGGGGGCCTGATCAAGGGCGTGGGTGAGAAGCCCCCCCTCCTGCAGTCTGACATCTTCTTCCTCTTCCTGCTGCCGCCCATCATCCTGGATGCGGGCTACTTCCTACCCCTGCGGCAGTTCACGGAGAACCTGGGCACCATCCTGATCTTCGCCGTGGTGGGCACGCTGTGGAATGCCTTCTTCCTGGGCGGCCTTATGTACGCCGTGTGTCTGGTGGGCGGCGAGCAGATCAACAATATCGGCCTGCTGGACAACCTGCTCTTTGGCAGCATCATCTCTGCCGTGGACCCCGTGGCCGTGCTTGCCGTCTTTGAGGAGATCCACATCAACGAGCTGCTACATATTCTCGTCTTTGGGGAGTCCCTGCTCAATGACGCCGTCACTGTGGTGAGGGGGTAGGGGGCCACGCCACGTGTACACAGGGCATAGACCTGAATCTCAGTCCAGGGGGGTGTGCACCACATCCTCCTGCCAAGAATAGCAGTTTAAGCAGCTCATGTTCATCCCTGCTTGCTGTGTGCCAGCCACCACACTGAGCACTTTGATGTGGATTATCTCATTTAATCCCCATGACAACCCTAGGATGCACTTATTATTCCCATTTTACAGAGGAGGAAACAGGCCCAAAGAAGGTAAATCACATGCTAGTATATAATGGAACCAAGATGTGAACCCAAGTCTTTCGGGCTCTAGGGAGTGAGCTCTTGGCCTTACCAGGTCATATACTCCCCTGCTGACTCGCGAAGTGATATGATTTTGGGCAAAGTACTTAGCCTCTCCGTGCCTCAGTTTCACCTTTATCACTGATGTTTGAGGAGCTTTTCAGCTCTCATGTTAGCCGTGTCTTAAGTTACAGTTTGATTTGAGCAGTGTTCTGGGGCAGAGATTGTGGAAAAAGGCTTTGCCCCCAAAGCCTGCAGAGGTGATAAGTAAAATGAGTTGGCCTGGGTTGGCCACATGCTTGCTGTGTGACCTTAGGCAAGTGACCGTACCTTCCTTGGCTGCAAAGTGGCAGAGTAGTTAGTGCCTGCCTGTCTCTAGTAGAACAGACAGCCCCAATGCAGGGTCTGCACATGGTAGATTCTGTACATGTCTGCACACACCCTTCCCCCAAGCCAGTTTCCTCAGGAAACAGAGATGTGTGTGCACAGGCTCACGTCATATTGTGAAAGCACTCGCCACCCCCCTCCTAGCTGGACCCATCAGAGAGCAGCTGCACACACAGGAAAACATGAGAATGTGTACATGCCCGTTCCATGCTCGCACACTCACACATGAGCTCCTTCCTCCTACACCTTCTCTCCCACCCCCATCCCCTTAGAAAACAGTACCTCAAAGTAGAGACAGAGCGGTACTCAGCTGTGACACCTCGGCTTCCTCTTCCTCCACTGTTCTCCTCCGCCCCCGCCGCGCCGGCTCCCCCATGGGGCTGTGGGTAGAGCATCAGTCTGGCCTGAGCAGGCAGGCCTCGGTCCTGGTCTCTTCTAGCACCAGCTCTTGGCCCGGGTTACCACATGAGCCTCAGTTTCCTCATGTGTAATGCAGGGATTTCAGTACTCAGCCTGTCATTTTCCTGGGGTTCTTGTAGGAGTTGCAGTCACTAATACCGTGAAAGGTGCCAGAGATGGAACCCTCCCCAGATGGGTGCTGGGGTTCAGGTTGTGTCAAGTGGATAGCTTACCTCCAGCAACTTTGGCCTAAGGCTCTGCCTCCTGAAGGTGGTGGCAGTGATGGTAGTAATCTCTGGCGTTTATTGAGTGCTTCCAGTGTCTGAATGTGTATTGCCTCTTCTAATCTGCACAGTAACTTCATGAGGTTGGCACTGTTGTTATCTGCAGTTTCTCCAGATGAAGAAACTGAGGCATTGAGAGCTTAAGTTACTTTCTCAAGGTTATGTTAGCTGATAAGTGATGTGGCTGGGATTCAGATCCACACAGCCTGGGTCCAGAGCTCAAACGCTTACCAGTTATGCTGCCTTACCTCTCTGTAGTTCCAGCAAAAATAGTGATAGGCCAGAAAAGAGGGTCTCACTCTTAGGTTCACGCCGTTAGCTCATGTGGTGGACCATGAGGAACCATGAACTCCCTCAGGCCAGGAGTGAGTTGGGTAGCCAAGGGCTGAGAGCATACCTGCTAAGGAGTCCATCTGCCACCAGAGCCCTTTCCTGTCTCCCAGACTACTGTGGCCCAGGCAGCCCAGGGATGGGGCAGTGCTCGGCAGCTCCCTTTCCTGCCTGGCCTGAGTCAGGGCCTGTCTTCAGCTCTGGCCATGAGTGTAAGCACCCCCTTTCCCAGACACTAAAGCTTCTTGGTCTGAGGCCTTTGCCCTGGAATAGGTCACCCCTCCACCCCAGTGCCACACTCACCTTGCCTCCAGGTGCTTCCCAGGTAATAGGGGTTTTGAGGCTTTCCTCTCAGGGATTTTCAGTGCCTTGTGCCCTTCCTCCTCCCCAGGCCTGGAAGCTCCCCACCTGGTTTCCTGGCAGAGCTGTCTAGGACTTGGAGTAGGAGAGGCAGACAGGAAGCTGACACCTAGCAGGGGACAGAACTTCAAAGCTGAGCCTGCTGGTCCCAGGCCACTGCTATCTGGGGACAAGTTCTGGGCCCAGCTCTCCCGTTCCCTGACTAGGGCCTTCTGGCCACGGACTTCACCACTCTGAGCCTCAGTTGACAAGGGCATAGGCATCCTTGGCCACCTGCCTCACAAGGTGGTCGTAAGTTTCGACTGGGATAGCCATCATCAAGGGGCTTTACAGTGCATAAAGTGCCAGTTACACCTCTGACAAGGGTGTCGCAATTACCGTTTACTTCCCAGCCCAGGAGATGCAAGGCCTCAGAGAGCCTCCAATTCCATAGAGTCTGAACTTGGCCCTTCACCCGGAAGCTTGTTAAATAGAGACTTCTGGGCCCCACCTCCAGAGAATCCAAGTTGGGTATATGTATTGCCAGAAATCTTCAGAAATTCAGAAATCCTGTTCTAGTTCTTGGTCAACTTTCCCTGCTTTGTATGCTGAAGGGGAAATTGAAATCCAGACAGGGACACAATTTGCCCAAGGTCATACAGTGAGAGGGGCAGACCATTGATAGTACCAGTAGTAGCTAACACTGCGTTGTCAGGCACTGCTCTAAGCACTTTACCTTTATTAGCTAATTTAATCCTCACAACAGCACTAGGATGTTGGTACTGTTATGCACCCATTTTATGGATTGGGAAACTGAGACACAGGGAGGTTAAGTAACTTGCCCCATGTGTACAGATAGCAAATTGAAGAGCTGGAATTCCAGCCCAAGCAGTTTGGCTTCAGAGCCTGTGCAGTTAACCAGCACACCATGAATCCAGGCCCTCTGGCCACCGGGACTGGTTGTGAGGACTGCTCAGCAGTAGGTCGTCTCTGCTACCACGTGGCCTTTCCTTGGTTCTATGGCCAGTGGAAGGGAGGAGATCACCCTGGGTGGGCCCCAGGGAATTGTGGGGGCCAGGGTCCCTGCCTTCTGGCTAACTAGTCTGCATACCCTCTCCAGGTCCTGTACCACCTCTTTGAGGAGTTTGCCAACTATGACCATGTGGGCATCGTGGACATCATCCTCGGCTTCCTCAGCTTCTTCGTGGTGGCCCTAGGCGGGGTGTTTGTAGGCGTGGTCTATGGGATCATTGCAGCCTTTACCTCCCGATTCACCTCCCACATCCGTGTCATCGAGCCGCTCTTCGTCTTCCTCTACAGCTACATGGCCTACCTGTCAGCCGAGCTCTTCCACCTGTCGGGCATCATGGCGTGAGTCCTGGGCACTGCAGGCAGCAGGGGCTTGGTGGGGGAGGCTGCCAGCTTGGATTCCCCAGTCTTGTAGGGTCATGCCCCCTGCCCCAAAGGGCCCAGCCTCCAGCTCCAGCTCTAGGCCCTACTTGGAAGCCATTTCAGTGACAAGGGTCATCAGGAAAGGTTCCCAGAAGAAGAACCCTTCTGCTGGGTTTTGTGTGGGGTTCAGAGGCTCTGGAGAGGACAGTCCTGGTTAGGAGCAGATGAGGCAGGAGTGGCCTGTGTTGGGGCAAGCCCAGGGGATGGGAAGTCAGAAGCTAGGGCTGCCCCTGGAAGTCACTGAGTTTAAAGTTTTGAAAACTCCCAGCCCTGCTACTTCTTCCATTTGTCTCAAAGGGTGTCCTTTGTTGTAGCTGGACACAGACACTCACGCTCACTCTCCCCTTAGCACCCCCAGGCAGGAGGCTTGAGACTTCCTTTGAGGCCAGAGTCTCACAGGCTGAGTCCTGGAGGCCCTGTGGCCTCAGCTGGGTCTTGAAGTGGGGAGAGTATGATCTAGAGAGGCAGTAAGGTGCCACGGTGTTCCCAACAGGGGAGAACACCAGAAGTGAAGACCTGGGGCTGAGCTCAGGGTCTTGGGGCAGCAGCAGAGAAGCCTGGCCAGCAGGAGCAAAGCCCGGGTGTGGGCACCAGGCGGAGGGCTTGGGTTGCTATTTGCAACAAAGCTCCTTGCTGGACCCTGAGCATAGCTCTCATGGGGACCACCGTGTGTTGTGGGGAATACCTCACTTGGGGAGTAAACCCAAGAGACCACTGGCATGTGTAACTGACTCCCATGGGGCAGAGAGGTGATGAGGCCTAGGGGAGAAGGCACAGGCTTTGGAGTTGGGCAGACCTTAGTTGTGTCTTAAGGTGATTTATTTTTTCAAGTCTCATATCGCTTATCTGAAAAATGCAAGAATATACCTGTGCCTGTAGGGTTGACAGGAAGATCAAGCCAGAGCAGGTGTGTAGAGCACCTGGCGGGCATCTGAGCTGTAGAGGAGAGGAGCTGGGTAAGCGGGCCCCTGTCTGTCATGGCACTGTCAGCCTCCCTGTGGGAGGACACAGCTCGATTCTGAACCTTCCTCTCCCCCGACCCCAGACTCATTGCCTCGGGAGTTGTGATGCGCCCCTATGTGGAAGCCAACATCTCCCACAAGTCCCACACGACCATCAAGTACTTTCTGAAGATGTGGAGCAGCGTCAGTGAGACCCTCATCTTCATCTTCCTTGGTGTCTCCACTGTGGCTGGCTCCCACCACTGGAACTGGACCTTCGTCATCAGCACCCTGCTCTTCTGCCTCATCGCCCGAGTGCTGGGTGAGGCCCTGGGCTGGGCAGAGGGAGGGGTGTGTGTGTGGAGGAGCTGGGGTTGGCTCCTGACTGCTCCCGGCTCAGCTGGACAGAAGGGGCTCCCCTGGTTCTTCTTATGTGGTGCCAAGGCTCATAATGGGCCCATGAAGGGAAAGAAGCTGGTGCTCATGGAGAGTCTGTGGTCTTTGGGGGATGGAGTCATAGTGTGTCAGGGGAAGGGGCCTCAGAGACTCTCTGAGTCTGTTGGTTTTTGAGGAGGGGCCTGAGGCTCCCAGAACCCAGGGCTGTGTCTGAGCTGAGTGTTCTCGACACCATCTGTGGCACAGCCGACTTCAGCTCTTACAAACATATGCTGCCAGCCCAAGGCTGCACATGGGGCCATGGCCAAAGCTAGACCAGGCCTTGGCTCCTTGGGTTCCCTTCACACTTCACAGGCCCCTCAGCTTAGTGACTGTGTCCTTTCCCCTCTTAAGATCTCAGTTACCTCCTCTTTACAGCAAGGGTTAGGTCTGTGTCCCCAAGCCTGACTGGGTATCACGTTTACTTGATATACTTTTTCAAAACTCCGCATTCCTGGGCCTCATCCTCCAAGATTCTCGTTCTGTGGGTTGAGCTTGGACCCAGGACTCTGCATTTTTAAAGAATTTTTTATTATGGAAAATTTCAAACACAGAAAAGTGGAGAGAATAGGGTAATAATTTCCCATGTACCCATCACATTTAACAAGTATCAACCCGTGGCTAATCTTGTTTTATCTCTCTGCCCTCCCCCCACCTGTGGCCACTGGAGCTTCTCTGATTCCTCTAAAGTTGGGAAAATGCTGGGCTATGTGGCCCCTTTAAGGATCCACGTAACTCTTGGATTGAGGTGTTCCGAACACCCTGGCCTGAGACACCCAGGAATTGAGTGAATAAGCTGCGTGGGCTTAATAGTGGAGGCTTCCTGGACAAGCAGAGAAGTTGCTGATGTAGAAGTCAGGAGGGGCTGAGGACCGGCTGACCCTTCATCTCCCCGCTCCCTGGCAGGTGTGCTGGGCCTGACCTGGTTCATCAACAAGTTCCGCATAGTGAAGCTGACCCCTAAGGACCAGTTCATCATCGCCTACGGGGGCCTGCGAGGGGCCATCGCCTTCTCCCTGGGCTACCTCCTAGACAAGAAGCACTTCCCTATGTGTGACCTGTTCCTCACTGCCATCATCACCGTCATCTTCTTCACCGTCTTTGTGCAGGTACTGGGCCAGGGAAGAGCAGGCCCTTGCCTTGGGGACCCTGACTCTGAGTCCTTGAGAAGAACGTGCACGACCCAAAAGGGGGCCATGGATTCTAGTCCCAGCTCACCCCTAACTTGCTGTGTGACCTTGGGCAAGCCAGTCCCTCTTTCTGGGCCCAAGTTTTCTCAGGTATAAAGTGGGAATTGTTATAATCAGTCATTGTGAAGTACAGGTCAGAATATGAGGTAACTAGAATGCTGCCCAACTCAGACTAGGAACCTAGGAAGCATTGAGAGAAGTGGGTGAGAGCCAGCAGGCCCAAGATCTGACTTTGCCACCAGCTAACTTATTGTGGGCCTTAGGCAAGTGACTTGATGTCTTAGAATCTCAGTCTCTGCATCTGTAAGATGGGAATAATAGCACAGCACGGGGAACTGGAAAGCCTACTGAGCCAAGCAGTAAGAGTCATGGGTTGAGCCCCAGCTCTGCTGCTTTGTCTGAAAGACCTTCCCATCTCTAGGTCTCGGTTTCACATCCGTGAAGTGAGGGGACTGGACTGAATGATCCCTAAGGATCCCTCCAGCCTGCTGGTCTGGGATTTCTGTGCATTTAAATGACCTAGGATTAGCCCAGATTCCTCTCCACCCTCACCCACCAGAGTCCCCAAGGAAGCCCAGCCTGAGATGGTATAAATTGTTCTATTGTGACCTTGGGAAAGTAAGAAACGCTTTCTCCAGGCCTCCATATCTCTACCATTCCTTCCATCTTTCCCGGCCACCAACCTTGCAAAGCCCTAGATGGGAAAGGTCTTTGCCTTCTCATGAGGAAAAAATGCAAAGAAAACCTCATGGGACTGAGCTTATGTTCTGTTGTTTAAAAGAAGGGAGGGCTGCCTCTTTTGTTCTTTTGTCCTTTTGTCCTGCTTTCTTTAAAAATATTTTATCACCTTAACTTTAAAGTTGTATATGCCAATGGTTTTCTAAGCCTGTTTTCACAGAAGGCAGCATTGGGGTGGGGCCTCCCTCAGAGGCAGCCTGCCTGGGTTTGAATTCTGGCTCTACCCCTTCTGTGGGCTCTTAGAAGGTTATTTAACCTCACTGAGCCTCAGTTTTCTCATTAAAATGGGACGATGAAAGGACCTACCTCTTAGTGTTATTGTGGGTATCGAAGAGTGAAGACTAGTAAAATACACCTGGGTCTGGCACATGGTAGGTTCTCACTAGGTCCTCCCAGCAGTCCTGTGAGGGAGGCAGAGCAGGGGTGGTTCTTCCTATGTCCCAGGTCTGACTTCCTTGGGATTGCAGAGTGAGTTTGTGATGGAGTCTATACTTGAACCCAGGCCCTCTGACCTCTAGCCCGAGCTAGATGACTCGTGTGAGCATCATTCTGCTGGATGGGCTGTCAAGCCTCTGGCTGCATCTCTAGGGAGAAGCAGGCCTTAAGGCTCTGCCTTTATATAACCCTGCGATGGGGGTTGGGGAGTTCTAACACCCTTGGGTCCTGGGAGATTGGGGGCCTCAGAGCAGAGAGGGCTTCCCAGCTTTAGAGGCCCTGGGGAGGTGGGAGACTCTGCAGCCATTTTCCAGGGTAGCAGAACTGGAGTGGCTGACACCTACCTGCCCCCCAGGGCATGACCATTCGACCCCTGGTAGACCTGTTGGCTGTGAAGAAAAAGCAAGAAACAAAGCGCTCTATCAATGAGGAGATCCACGCACAGGTACTGGCAGCTGGGGCTGGGTTCAGGCGCTTCTCCTCGGCTGTAGGAGAAGGCTCAGGGGCTGATAGCAGCTAGGCCTCATGTCCATGCCCTCGGTTAGCTTCCTCATCCCTTATCCAGTGCTGGGGGGATCCCTGGGCCCCTTGAGGCCACCTGGGTCACTTTTACCAGGATCTAGCCGTAGGGAAAGCATGGTATGAGCAGCTGGAAGACCGAGGAAGGAGCTGCCTCTTGATGGAACCTACCCCAGGCAATTGGTCACAGATGGGCTCAGAAAAGGAGGCAGGGCTCTACAGGTGGCCAGTGGCAGAGGGTTTGAGACACTCAGGGAGTCTTTACCACTTGGGTTCAGGATAAGTAGAGTGTCAGCGCCACCTCCTGGCTACTCCTGGAACTGCTGGGCTGAGCAAAGCTGTAGCTAGAGTGGGAGGTTGACGAGTATCTATTCAGAGGTCTTAGAAGGGGAGGGAACCCAATTGTGAGGCTTGACCTGGCCCTGGGCCCATTTCAGTTCCTGGACCACCTTCTGACAGGCATCGAGGACATCTGTGGCCACTACGGCCACCACCACTGGAAAGACAAGTAGGTGTCAGCCCTGGTGGGCAGGTGGGTGGGGAGGGGCAGGTAAGGGTCTCCTGGGGCCTGGACATTTCCCCACCCTTAGGATCTGGCTCCATCCATTTCCTTCCTCCTCCCCGCAGGCTCAACCGGTTTAATAAGAAGTATGTGAAGAAGTGTCTGATAGCCGGCGAGCGCTCCAAGGAGCCCCAGCTCATCGCCTTCTACCACAAGATGGAGATGAAGCAGGCTATCGAGCTGGTGGAAAGCGGGGGAATGGGCAAAATCCCCTCCGCTGTCTCTACCGTCTCCATGCAGTGAGTGCCAGTGGCCACCCTGGGCAACTTCACCACCCACATGTCAACCCCTCGACCCCAGCCTGGAGTAGAGCCCCCAGGCGGGGCAGTGAGCAAGGCACCGCTGTCATCTGTCAGATGTCACACTGAGGGCCTGAGGCCTGCTCACCCTCTCTGGCCATCCCCAGGGCTGACCTTCTGGCCCACCGCAGCAGGCACCAGGGTCACAAGAATTTTCTTGGGTATTTAACCTGCATCCTGTTATCCTAGGAACATCCACCCCAAGGCCCTGCCTGCTGAGCGCGTCCTGCCAGCACTGTCTAAGGACAAGGAGGAGGAGATTCGCAAAATCCTGAGGAACAACTTGCAGAAGACCAGGCAGCGGGTGAGGGCCTGCTCCCCAGCCTGGCTCCCCACCCACGGACCCAGCCTCTTTGCCCCACAGCAGAGGAGCCCCTCCACCCCTCTTCCCTCCAGCCCTCTCCTGCACAAGCCCCTCTGCCCCCACTTCAGGCCCAGCTGCTCGTCCCTGCCCTGACAGCTGTTTCTCCCACAGCTGCGGTCCTACAACAGACACACGCTGGTGGCAGATCCCTACGAGGAGGCCTGGAACCAGATGCTGCTCCGGAGACAAAAGGCCCGGCAACTGGAGCAGAAGGTGTGTCCAGGATTAGAGCTGGCTCCTGCCTTTCTCTGGGAATCGGGGCTCTTCTCTTGCCACACCCACTACCACCAACACCAAGCCCCTTTCAGGAGAGGGCCGCTCCAATCTTTTTTTGGCCTCCTGTACTGTGGAGGCTGAGCCCCAGGGTGGCTTCAGGGAGCGTGGGTCCAACTCCTTCCCACTCAGAGCAACAGAGAGGCCAGGGCCTCTTCATCGTCTCCTCGGGTCTGAGCTAGAAGAGCCTGTCCATGTGCTGTGTCCAACCCCCTTGTTCATCCATGAAGACTAAGGCCCAGGGGGACAGGACCTGCCCAAAGTCACAGAGCAAGCCATGTGTGCATTTATTCATTCAGGAATCATTTGTTGAGTGTTTACGGAGTGCCAAGACTAGGATGGCCTCGGGGGGTCCAGCAGTGAATCATCCCAGTACCCCCCCTTACAGAACTTCTCATGCAGTGGCCCAAGCAGGAAAGAGAAAGTGCAAGGGGCCAGGAGCGCACAGCCCGGGGTGGGGTGGAG